AGCCTGCGAGTTCCAAGGAAGCTGATCGGGGCGATGATTATCGTTCTTCCAGTTGAAAGAAATGAAGAAACTATTGTGCAATAATCCTTAGCCCGAGGAGTCCCGAGTTCTCTGGACGCAGTGACAGTCTGGTTCAAGCCTCGCCGTCGAAACTTGAACAGGCGAACGCGCTCATGGCAGGAATAGAACTAGGTAGTTCATTCAAGTCGTCATCCTACTTTTAATTAGAAATATTGTATTCGAAGGCACGAAGAGGCGGTACACCCCAGCTCGCCGCGACCAGCTCGCCGCGACCCAACTCGCCGCGACCCAACTCGCCGCGACCCAACTCGCCGCGACCCAGCTCGCCGCAGGGTCCAACTCGCCGCGGCCCAGCTCGCCGCAGGACCCAGCTCGCCGCAGGACCCAGCTCGCCGCAAGATCCAACTCGCCGCCGGAGGCGACTGCCTCAGAGCGACTCGTCCTTGGCTCATTCGCCTCACACATTGAGTGTCACTGAGGGACGCCGACGCCCCTCACTCATCCCGGGAAACCGGAGAATTCCGGCCGGTGGCACTCTATGTGTAATGCCTAACGGTTGTAGGAGCAGAGAAATTCTCGGCATCCAGAAAAGAAATAATCGCATTAGTCGGCGCAGGGGGGAAAGCTTGCGGGATAGGTATCACACGGAAGTTGGTGGCCCTGACAAGGCCGTTTTTTTGCTCTCAGAGGCGAGCGACTTGAGCCTTCTCGATCTTCTTTCTTCAGCAGGATCACAGCCATGACGATCTTTTTCCTACGGATGGCAAAGCGAAGATGACAGAACATGATACTAGACTTGTCGGTGTCGTATTCGTGCGGCATCCTGTGAAATACTGAATCGTCATTTAATTTAAAATCACCCGAATCCGCGCGATTGCCGACCCGGGGGCAAATCTCCGACCGCAATCAACCCGGGAGCCCAGAGTGCTACAGAATTCGCCCTTCGCTTATGAGCCTTGAGCAATCCGAGTGGTCCATGACTCGTCATGAGGAGCCCCACCTAACCGGCGTTTAAGACTAGTCAGAGGGTCAGAGAGGTGTCATTATGTGGCCTGCATAAATATTGAGATCATCGCTGATATGATAAGATGATTGCTAATCATTCTTTACCCTGTCTCCATGGCTTTCCCGGCTAATTCTGGAATTTCTATGCTCCTGCAACCATTAGGTATCAAGGCGAATGAGCCAAGGATGAGTTGCTCTAAGACGGTCGCCTCCGGCGGCGAGTTGGACCTTGCGGCGAGCTGGGTCCTGCGGCGAGCTGGGTCCTGCGGCGAGTAGGGTCGCGGCGAGTAGGGTCGCGGCGAGCTGGTCGCGGCGAGTTCGGATGCTCCGACGAAGAGGACATCCCTCCCTCCTCGGACGACTATTCGCGTTTCAACGCTTGAAGCCAGCTGTCGTGGACAAATACCCCCAGTCCTCGGCGGCGCGCGCTGGTTGCACGCAGAGCGGCTGGGAAGGATTCGATCACGAGTCCGGCGCCGTCTGAGTGAGTGGGGCCCGACTGCTCTTCGGCTTGATTGGGTGAGACTTGACCAAGCTTGATTTAGCGCTGACATATCAGCCATCACCCTGCCTCATCCCGCCGGGAGTATGGTCGAAAAGATCTTGAAGAAATCGGCGGGGAACAAGCCGAACTTGCAGCTCCGCGCTTCACTGTTGACGCAATGGTCTTGATCAACCTATTCCTTGGAAAAAGCAGAATCTCCAGACAAGCTCTCGGAATGGCTGTTGCTATCCTCGGAAACGAAGTTTGCGGAATTTTCCCAATACGGAGAATTCCGAGGAGCCGACGGCGTTGGTGTTCCAACCTGCCTCAAGAAGCTCTGACAACCCAGCTTCGCACTGAAGGCAGTCAAGCAACCTATGAACGAGCTTCATATTAGCTCATGAGCCCTTCATATTAGCCCTTCTTTCATATTAGCTCATGAAATGGAATGAGATCCCAGCTGTCTTTGACCGCGTTCTCGTCTACTTTATTTGCTAAAATTACGATGGAGTATGTTGTCATCGGTTACGAATCATGATGATGACTGATCAGAGGTTTCAAGTCTTCGGTATCTCTTAAGAGTCGGTCCGAGTACCCAGGACGCGCGCGATGGCTTCTAGGAGTTAGTGCTGCACAGCCGCAATTTGAACGTCTTCAATGACTGGCTCCTTCACAACTGTAACAGCGGGGACTGCTGCAATTGCGACGGCAGGGGCTACAGGGAGCACAGGAGCTGGAGCAAGGGGGACCACGGGTAAAATCGGAGCTGCTGCAACGGGGGCCACGGCAATGACGGCCGGAGTGGTCGGCGGCGGCGGTGGCGGGGGGATCGTCGTTGTTGGCGGCGGAGGAGGTGGAGGAGTGGTCAATGGGGCAGGTACCGCCACTGCAACCGGAACAGCGACCGGCACAGGGACAGAATTGTCAACGAGCTTATTCTGATTCTGGAGGATGATTGCACCGCCCTGAGCGCGTCTCGGTGGAGGGGTGGTCAGAGGAGCAGGGGTAGTGGTCGGTAGGAACGAAGCTGAAGTCATCGCTCCGAACATGCAGATCAACGCAATGGTCTTCATAATTCCGGATTTTTCCAACCTGGTCGAACGGATGAGACGAGGTGCGGCGGAGTTTCTTGAGGGTAGAACTGAGGTTGCTGATCGGGAGTACGACTTGATACCTCCTAGGTACTGTGATATCGAGGATCCGTAGAACTCGGAGGGTTCCAAGGCACAGTGAGAACACTGCGTCTTCGAGAACTCGGGTGATGTTATATACCGATCAGAGCGGAGAGGATTAGGGGAGAAGTTGGCTCTTTGTCGATCAACCCACGCTCACTCACTCGAATCATGTGCATCGAGATCCGCTCGGGACCCCATGAATTTTTCTGGCCGAAGAGTCGGTCCCATATGTCGGCGAACCTCGCTAGAAAGGCGCTCCCGAAGAAGACTCTGGCATGCATGGGGTACTCCTCAGGGACGTAGCCCCTGATGAGCATTCCGATCCGACCGGGGAGTTTCATAAGATCTGAGATGCGTCCCCGCCATCGACGAGAATTTATCGCGGCTGCCCATCATACGCTTAATCGGAATTCCACCAATACTTCCACCAAGGCTAATCGACTTGTACCTGGGGACGCGGATCGTGTCTGAGGCGACAACAGACCCGATATCCTCCGTGCGGAGTCCAACGAGCGTCTTCGCTGGAATAATCCACTTCTTTCCAGAAGAATTCTACGAAGTGATCCGATGGCATGCTCCGAATCAGGCGGTCAGGCTCGAGCCCACGGATTTTCGCAAATGCGGGCAGAGAGATTCCGAAAGTTTCATCGCAGACAAGTCCATGGCCTCTTGGAGGGTTGTCGAGATGGCTCTGGAGGAGGAATTGGGGCTCAGAGTTCTCTGGATACACCGCGTGAACTCGTGTGACCCCTGCAAGGAGCATTCTCTTGGGAAGAACCGCTAAATGACCGAAGAAGAGTAACCGGGAGCAGTTCATGATACCGGATTCTGACCAGGCTTCCCCTCATTATCGATGTCTCGGATACACTTGGTCGAATCGAGTCGTTACGTCGGGACATCGTCTTAAATCGGAAGATATCTACCTCGGGTTGCTCTCGACTTTCTTTCGGAGCTCCTCCATACGGACGAAACCCTTTGCTCCGAACATCCGCTGTCGATAGGATGGCAGTCGTCAGGAATGGAGCTCCGCCAAACGCCGGGGGTAAGGTTTGACATTCTGTCGAATCCATTGGCTTGAGCTCCAACAGAATATAACGTCGCAGTTCAAAAACAATGATTTTGTACGAATCAAATGATTTATTCATATCGTATTGATTCAGGGGGGTTCCAAGATATTTGGGCTATCATCGGTCGGATGACGGTTAGCTGGTTGACGGTTCGAGACATGAGTGCACTTTCGCAATCAGAAGGTCTTCCACCACGGACTCTTTGACGACCGTGACTGCGGGAAGTGCTACCGGCACCACCGGAGAAGCGGCAAGGACTGCAGGAGCCACGGAAATCGCAGGAGCTGGTGCGACTGGAACGCGGGGCATGACCCGAGCTTCTGCGACGGGGTTCTTGGGAATGAGAGCCGGAGTTAATGGTGTCGCGGGACGAGTATTCCCTGACCGGTCATGTCGCATCACCCTTCGGGTGCGTTAGAGGTGGTGTGGTCGAAGAAGAATTCGCGGTCTCCGGGGCAGCTGTTGTCTTTGGGGTAGGGGATTTGCAAGATGAAAACGAAGCAGAAGCCACGGCTTCGAGTATCTAGATCAATGAAATCGCCTCCATTTCCCTGCGGGAGGAAGGTCCGAGAATGACCATCGTATATCTTTAATGTAAGTGTGAGACATGGAAGACAAGCTCCGGCGAGACACCTCGGCTGATTCAATGGTATCTGTTCCCGATCTTTCCGTGTCTGTCCTCAATCCCAGCGATTCCATTCATCGAACAGTTTTCGAACGAGCTAAGGTCGCGGCCAAGTCAGCAAAAATTCATTCAAAGACTCATCATCAAGGAAACGATGCCTCCCTTCTGGCGGAGAGTCGCCTGGGACGCACCGAGGCTATGAAATGTCGCGTCGTGATCTGGATTATTCGACGCGAGATCCACAGCGGCCCTTTCAAACCGGATGGTTAAGCCTTTCAGAAGGCAGCAGCTTCTTCCCTCAGATCCCTGAGGTATGAGTGCCTCTCCCGGGGCGGTAGAGGCAGATTCGAGTGACTCTGCGAGTATCGAGTCGTTTACTGAAGCGTGCCCGAAAAATGAGGCAGTACCAAGATATCAGCTCTTTTGTTGCATTTTCGTCTTCTTTATTGACTCGAATTTTCATGGAAGATTGTCATTGTTGAGGAAAGTCTAGGAACTATCATTCCGATGGGTGTGGTGATCATCATTCAGTCGATCGATGGATTCCACAAGGCGGACCACAGAATCTTTCCGGAAGTGACCGAACGCTAGAGATATGGCCTAAGAATTGTTCCAGAATATTATCAGTGATGCACTATCGCGACCTGAATGTCTCCCACAACGGGCTCCCTCACGACCGTGACCGTGGGGATTGCTATTGGAAAGATCGAAATAGCGGGATAGACCGGAGGTGCTACAGGAACCACGGGCAACACCGGAGGTGTAGCAACAGGGGCCACCGGTAACAAGGGAGCTGATGCGACGGGGACCACGGCCGGAGTGGTCGGTGGTGGCGGGGGAGGGGTTGTCGTGGGAGGTGGCGGGGGAGGGGTTGTCGTGGGGGGCGGCGGTGGTGGTGGCGGAGGGGTGGTGGTCACAACTAGCGCCGGGACGGCGACCGGCACTGGGACAGATCGGTCCACGACCTTATTCTGGTTCTGAACGATGAACGCGCCGCCATTACCTCGGCCCGGAGATGGTGTGGTTAGAAAAGACGAGACTGACGCCGCGGTCCCGAGCAGGCAGATCAATGTGATAGTCTTCATTGCTATGATGTCTTCACTGCTCGCGTGGACGGATTCAGAATCTCCCGAGATCTAGGGGAGTGAAAAACGAGAATAGCGATGGACGGCGGGAGTATCCTCTTATATTCTTCATACGCCAGCTTGGGAGAGAGGAACGGGAGAGAGGGCTTCGGCGAGAAACCGCAGCTACCTGAATCTTATTCCCTGCTTCGAGGCTAATTCGTACCCCATGGATTCTCGGCTCGGAAGCCTCAAAGGAATCCACAAGCTCACGGGCTAAGGCAGCCCCAGGACGAGGGGTCACCGGAATGGGAGTTCGATTCATCAGACAAAAATGGTAGCCCCAGTTCGCCACCTTTGCTCCAAAATAGCTGAATTCCGTAAAGTGACCCTCCATCTCAGCGGTAGCGTAATGACGGGATCGAAACTGGGACTCATGAAAAATCAGTTCGAACGATCTGCAAAGCTCCTCATATCGAACTTGGAGGAACTTGCGGGCACCAATGAAGAGATATGCACGGCTCATTACTCGCACGCTGGAGTCATGAACGCAATAGCAGCCGAGACCGTCAGCTTGCACATCGATGCGTTCGATGATCCGAATAACGAATTCCTCGAGTGCTTCACCGGCTTCTTCAACGGCTGCTTGGGATTCAATCCGATGATGGCATTTCCGAATATTCTGAGATACCCGCCAATCGTCGAGAATCCGCCGAAGGAAATCGACAACTACTTCGTCCAGTTCTCGAGATCGCTGCTCGAAAAGCGGCGGAAGTAGATCTGGAATCCGGAAGAGTTGGACTTCCTCGATTCCTGGCTAGAGAGTCAGAAAGCAAACCCAAAACTTACAGACGCCTTACTCATCTCCCAAATGATTATTTTTTTGGTAACTGGCCTCGAGACTTCAGCCCATGCGCTGACTTTTGCATGTACCTCTTCGCCACACATCCACAAATGCAGGAGAAGGCTCACCGGGATGTCATTGAGAACATCTCGGACCCCTATCACAAGATGAAATATCTCGAGGCTGCGATCAGGGAAACCTCGAGGCTGTATCCAATGGACTTCGTCACCGACCGAGTTACTAGTGAGCCATCTGCGATAGCCGGGGTTTCCCTAGACAAGAGACCATTCACGTCCCGACGAGTGCTGTCAATGAGGATCTGGAAGGTTTCCATGAGCCGTCGTTATTCAAGCCGGAAAGGTATTTGGAGGGTGGCGAGAAGACTCAAGAAATCGCGTGAGTGAGTTTCGTTGAAGGTTCTAAAAACTGCAATGGGAAAGGCTTCGCCACCTATCAGCTGATAACTTTCATAGCGGCCATTCTACGGTCAGTGCGTCTGGAACCCGCCGACGACGGGGCTTACGATCCTTCTGTGGGATATCAGGCCGAAACAGAGAGCAGCCCGCACAGATGTTTCTGCCTTTCCCGAAGAACACTCTGAGAGTGAAGATCGCCTCAAGACAAGCCTGATGTAAATATAGCCAAATCATTCAGATCATCATCATTCAATGAATTGCAGAAACGATCTGCTCTTTCCGTCGCGTCGACTTCTCCTAGTGTGCTCAATCACCATCGAAGCGCCAATCAATTATAGAGCTCCCCGATGCTAGTAGTTCGTGACTTGCCCGATCCTTGTCGTTTTCCCGATGGGGCATTGCAAGGCGCTGCGTCCCTCAGGCAGAATGGGTATTCCCACCCTGGATGAACATTCTGGGCAATGATGCCCGATATCCGTATTATGCTCATCTCATCAACTCATCAGTCATCGGCTAACCGTTGCCGTGCTGGCTGACACTCGAAGCCGTGCAAAAAAGGGAGGACGCCCACCTGCGGTGGTTGAAGAGCTCTAGCAAAGCTCTTCTACGTGATATCCTCCATGATATGGCAATCGATGCGACGTGTCTCGATAGACAAGATCGATTCCGGTCCGATATTCCCATTTCGCTGCTTTCGATTCAGAGAATTTTCCATCCACGCAGCTGCGGAGCAGTTTCATTGATTCTTCTGATCAATTTTTCAGAAAGAATTCCGTCGTTTCCATGACTGTAGAACTGTCCCGGATTCCTTAGGCTGCCTGAAGTCAAGCTTCAATCCTCGGATGACGGGACTCCGCGGGGTCCTCTCGTTGTGAAATGGAGGTCCTCAGGATACTATGCCGCAGAAAGAGGTATTTCGGGGCCGGCCTGTGCTGTCTCACAGCGATCGCTCTTGCCCAGCTGTATTTCATCCGCGAAGGTCCGAAGCTAACTAGTCTAGGCACGGAGATTGCAATGGATTCCTTCTACGGAGCTTTCGAAACCAGGTATGAAACGACTGAGATCGAAGAAGGGTTTGTGGCCGACATAATGAGCGAGGTCGATGTGGTCAAAGAGGGGAGTAGGCTCCTAATCGAACTTGTGGAGTGCAATCTCAGGAGCTGGTTCAAGACCTCGACGCACCTGCTCCTGACCAGGGACTTCGAGAGCTTCGTTCTGGACGACAGTTTCTCTCACGACATTAGGATTCGACCAATGCAGAGAGTAGTTTTCGTCTGCTACAATTATTCAGGCATTCAAAACGTGGGTCGACGCATAACGAGCTTGGTGCACATGTATTCGAAACTCCCTCGAAGAAGGAACGCGACCGACCTGTTGGTCGTGATTACCCGAGCCCCCGAATTAGTGGATTTGACCATCGCGACCCAGCTGGAGCATTCTCCGAGCGACTTCAAAGAGACAATCATGCTGAACGTTCCGCTCGGCGCAACAACTCCTGTCAGCTCCGTCTGCATCCGGAAATCAGCCGTGAAGCTTCCTTTCGGCTTCAAAATTAATATTGAAAACACCCACTGGGCGATGCCGTTCAATAACTGCGTCGCGTATTGGAGTCAGAGCGATGCGAGGAAAGCGTGTCCCGATCTACCGTCGAAGACACAAACCCTCCGAGACATGAAGTTCCAAGGACCGAATTCTGGATATGCTCTCCTCCCCGTTCACAGCGATTTCGAGCCCTGCGTCAATGAATCATTTCAATTCGCCTTCTATGACTTTCTGGCGAAAGCCCCTGTTAAAATTCCGTATGTGGTGGACAATGGCCTTGTCTCGTCCGGTTTCGACAAGTATCCTCTCGCATCCGGAATACGAGGGCAAGTGCTGAATGAATTAAACCTGGCCATCATGGTCCTTCTCGGATCATCGATTTGGCTGCTGAGCGACGCATCATTCAACGATTCGTTCATGGCTCTACTATGCGGCCTAGAAACATCAGCTCAAGCTTCTCGAAAAATGAAACGTCGAGTCGCGATCGCGCTCTTCATGTGGGTCCTGGCGAACATGTTTTTCACTTTGATTCTGGTGGAGGACATGACCTCAACGATCAGTGTGCCGAGCGGAGTGCGGGTTGCTCGTCTCCGAGATTGCTCGGAATCTAGTTTCAGAGTCGAATCACGGAACTATAGAGTCAAGACGCCGCCCAGGTTTTGGGAAATGTTCACAGAGCCTACCGCCCAAGAAGATCTTCCTCCGACGACACTGGTCGTGTGCGGCAGAGGAATCGACCTCGAACGAATTCGCAATTTCTTTGGCTTCGATAACATGTATCGCATCCCGCTGCAGAGGGTCGATCGCAAGTGGACTTTGTTCCCCGAAAAGTTCGGCATCGTTAAATTCCCGAATCTGGAGGCCTCGAAGCCCGTGAGGCTCCCCGCTTCTTACGCGGATAATTCCGAGTGGAATGAGTACGCTTTACTAATGCTGACATCCGACATTCTCCGAGCGCCGCTCGACAGATTAACACTGGAAGATTCGAGTACGATGAAGAAAAAAATCGAAGAAAAATACGGTTGCTGCAGCAGAAAAAGTGAAGCGAACGAAGATGTCCTTAAACGGATCGCCCTCTTCAGAGCCGAGCAGCATTCCTCAGGAGGGCAAGGACACGGAGTTCCGATCAATTTCCTAATATTGACCTCAGTCGCCGGAATCGTATGCTGCTTGGTCGAAGTTCTCGTCCATGGTTTCTATCGCTACCGTCCTGGAAGATCCGAGGAGCGACCCTGCCCGCTCCAGGCGCTTATGAATCTTCAGTCAGGGCGAGACGGGAACCCAATAGGGTGGCGTGCAATCGAATCATCTGAGAGTGGGTCACGCGTCTTCCTGGCTCTCGATTGGAAGAAATTGCAGGAAATACGCGAAAATCGAAGCCAAGGCTCGGGTGGCGACGCTAGCGTGGGGCCAAGGCTCCGAGTGCTCGAGATTTCGCTTGAAAACTCTCACGTCGAAGCACAAACAGCTCGATGGTCCCACGCGGCGGAGAGAATAACCGCGCTTCATCCGCGGGAGAAGTAGCGGAATTCCGTGCCCCAGCCGAGTGCGCTGGTTGGCCAGGGTTCGAACGTCATGCGCCGGGCCGCTCAAATAAATGCGCGAGCCCAGTCGATCGCATTGGGGACCGGAAACTCTCGGAGATTTTGACGTGAAACCGTCTTCACGTGCTGATCGACTATACTGATCGAAGGTAGTCCGTCTTATGTGTGATAACCGTAGTGACTTTACTCTGTCATAGATCCCGAGGAGCTGCTTAAGTAGGAATTCGTAGCTGTTTTCGTGTAGCTGGAGATTCTAGGCGCAAACTGTCAGTCTATACCCGTATCGGATGATGGCCCCCGGGACGCATCCCGGAGGCGATTTATTGGCATTCCCCTGAACAGCCTCAAATGACAAGGCGTGAATAAAGGTTTTTTGTGAAATGCTTGGGGGACATCCTGATTCGAAATCGCGGTCCGACTCCTTGACTGTAGAGATCCCTGGACTTCTGGGTAGCTGTTCATTTGCTATTCGTATGGCAAGGGAGATTACTAGGGCTCGGGAGTTCAGGCACTGGAAAATGCCGAAAACGGCCGGCGAAAAAGGGCCCTGTAATACCTTAGAATAGGCAAAACAGGCAAGATAGGCACGGCAAACGCCGCCTTGAACCGTTCGTCAGTGCCATTTGATGAGAGATTCACGTGGCCTCCCGGAGTGCCATGGTTTAGTAGGCATTC